GTCCAGTGGTTTAGTATCCACCTTCCGATGCTGGGGATTCAGGTTTGTTTCTTCATCAGGGACCTAATATCCCACATGCCATGGGGCAACTAAGCCCACTTGTTTGAAATACTGAACCCGCATGCCACAACTACAGGGCCTACCTGCTCTGGATCCCACATGCCACAACTAAGACCCAACACAGCCAAAAATAAATAAACATTTATTAAAAAATGAAGAGTCAACCTATAGAATGGGAGACAATATTTGCAAATCAAGTATCTGATAAGGGATTAATATCTTAAATACATTTTTTAAAAGCTCATACAACTCAGGGAAGAAAATCAGATTTTAAAATGGGCAAAGGAACTGAATAGACATTTTTTTCAAAGGAGACATACAAATGGCCAGCATCATGTTGAAAAGGAGCTCAACATCATTAGGAAAAGGCAAGTCAAACCCACAATATATCACTTCATACCCATTATGGCTGTCATCAGAAATAAGTGTTGGCAAGACTGGAGAAAAGTGCACCTTTATGTGCTGTTGATGGTAATGTAAATTAGTGTAGCCACTGTGGTAAGCAGTATGAAGGTCCCATTGTTGGGTATAGGGCTTCTCTGATAGCTCAGCTGGTAAAGAGAAGGGAATGGCTACCCACTCCAGTATTCTGGCCTGGAGAATTCCATGGACTGTATAGTCCATGGGCTTGCAAAGAGTTGGACACGGCTGAGCGACTTTCACTTTCTGTTCAGTATATATCCAATGGAAAGAAAATCGTTATCTTAGAGATACCTGCACCCCCATGTTCTTTGCAGCATTATTTACGATAGCCAAGATGTAGAAACAACCTACGTGCCTGTCAACAGATAAATGAATAACCACCTGCCTGACACACATACAGGGACTTTCCAGATAGCTTGGTGGTAAAGAATCCACCTTCAGTGCAGGAGACGTGGGTTTAATTCCTGGGCCAGGAAGATCCCCTGGAGAAGGAAATGGTAATCCATTCCAGTATTCTTGCTTGGGAAATCACATGGACAGAGGAGCCCTGTGGGCCACAGTCCATGGGGTCACAAAGGAGTTGGACATGACTTAGTGACTAAACAGCAACAGTAACACAGAGAGAGAGGAATATTTTTCGGCCATAAAAACGAAATCCTGTCGTTTGCAATAGTATGGCATTATGCTTAATGAAATAAGTCAAACTGCTAAATACAAATACTGTGTGATCTTATCTGTGGAATCATAGAAAAGGAGAACAGACTGATGTAGCCAGAGATGAGAGTAGGGAAAGGGGCTGCAAAATGCTGAAGGTAAATTAAAAGATACAAGCTTTCAGTTACAAGATAAATAATTTCTGGGGTGGGTACAGCATGGGATCTGTGGTTAACAATACTGTGTTGTATATATCAAAGTTGCTAAGAGAGAGTAGATTTTTAAAGTTCTTATTATAAGGAAAAAGTTGAATCTGTCTGGTGATGGATGCTGACTTCTTCTGATAATTACTTTGTAATACATTCCTGTATCTAATCATGTTGTATACTGTAAACTAATACTAATATATGACTAATGTGTATCAGTTGTATAGCAATAAAATTGGAAAACATAATTATCAGGTGGGAATATATTGATCATTGAGAGTTGGAATAGTAGGAATGGGAGAAGTTAATAATTGGAATTTGTGGAAAAAAGAAAAATTAATACCAGAACCAAGACACTTCTTTGAGAAAGATCTTCAGTGTTCTTCTTACTTGCTGCAAGTAATAAATTCTTCCTTCTCCCAGGGAAAAAAAAAAAAAAAAAACTAACCAAAATGAGAATCTGTAAACTTTGTTCTTCCCTTCAGTAATAGCACTCCCATAATGTATTTTGGTTAAATAAAAAGATTTTGATCATTCATTAGGTTAATTAAAGTGAGAGTCTTATTGGTGTCCCTTAAAAAAAAAAAGTTAGAATGAGTATAAGCATTTTGTTTTTACTTAAATTTTAGTATACTTTTAAAAATTGCCATTATTTTTGATAGTTCTTTTAAGCACACATGCAAGCACATTCACGTGTGCAGCTATCATTTTTACTGAATGCTTACTGAATACTTTCTTTGGGTGTGAGATATATATATATAGATAGATAGATAGATAGATAGATAGATAGATAGATAGATAATTGTTCATTCATGTCCGACTCTTTGCAACCCCATGGACAGCAACCTTCCAGGTTCCTCTGTCCTCGGCGATTCTCTAGGCAAGAGTGCTGGAGTAGGTTGCCATACCCTCCTCTAGGGGATCTTCCTGACCTAGGGTTCGAGCCCAGGTCTCCCACATTGCAGGCAGATTCTTTACCATCTGAGACACCAGGGAAACCCATACTGCCCTTGAAATTGATCCTGTGTTCTAAACATCATATTAGGCTTTGATCTCATTCTTTGAGGAGCTTACAGGGGGAATTTCAGATTTGTTACAGGCACTTTTTGTTGTCAACTTTCTATACAAGGGGAATTTTGCTGGGGGCTCTGCAAAGAATTTTCATCTTCACCAAAAAAAGAGATGCATGATGAGAAAATCTTGCTATTGCTCTTTCATTTCTGTTTTGGACACTGATATGGGAAGTGATACCTGATGCTGAAATTTGTGACCAGGAGGCTGCAAGCATTAGGACCCAAGCCCACTTGTATTAATGAAGAAACAATAGAAGAATAGAATAGAAGAATCTCTCACTTTGGAGATTCTTTAAACATACTCTTACCGTATGATCCAGCTACACTCATAAACAATTTCATCTGTAAATTACATCAGGAGAGAGAGATTTAGAAGCTTAACAAAGTCCTGTCATGACTATCAACAAAGAATGTGTGTGTTTTGACTTTAAAATTTAAATATGTTCCTCATTTTTTACAATGCCAGTATATGAGAATCTAAAATAATAACAAGTTCTAAATCAGGGGAAAAAGTGAACACAAATGAAAAATACAAAGAGTAATAGACAAGGTAGTACAGTTTTCCAAATCTTACAAATGAGACTATTATACCAATGATAATTGATGAAGCTTTAGGGGATTAGTTCATTGGTCAAAAGTGTCTGGACAGGCTAAAACATCCTTTACCTGTTCTCAGAAAAATGTATGATATAAGGGAAGAGAGTATATGTAGCCTGACAGTTTTTCATATAGAGACATATGACCACCTGTTAAGATGGGATTGTTTAAATAAAACATCTTAAATTGTGTTTCTCTCTCTCTCTCTCTCTTTTTATGGTCACATTGCAAGGATTGCAGGATCTTAGTTCCCTAACCAGTAATTGAACCCGCGCCCTCGGCAGTGAAATCCCCAAGTCTTAACAACTGGCCCTCCAGGGAATTCCCCATTTCTCTTTCTTTACTCATCTTGTTTGAGGGACCTTGGGTAGACAACAGAAATAATTGAAGGCTATTAGATTAAGTTGTAATAAGAGAAAGTAATAAGAAATATAAATTCATAATGTTGTTCACGTAGGAAGCCCAGTAATTGTTGACCTATTCTTACCACCCTGCTTTTTTACCTTAACAGAATATGTTTTATGAAAGTAGATACATCATTTCCTGAGTTCGGGGAAATACATTGTAATGATTGTTAGCATTACCGAAGCATAAAGTCATTATGCAGTATTAATAATGGAAAGAAAAACAGAAAAGATGAAAATAAACAGTTTAACTACTATAATGAAGTAAACCTTGTATTCTGGGATCATGTGCCCATTTGTAAATTCAGCTCACAGGTTTGTGTCTGTTCCTGTAGTAGGGAATTAGTGGTGTTTGTAAGAAGCTTATACAGTCTAGACCTACTTACTTTCTTTTATAATGTGTAATAATAACCAAGCAGTTCTAATTTTCTTCTTCCTTAAAATGTTAAGGTAAATCGTTAATGAAAGTGAAATAAAATTATGTGTTTAGTCTGTGATTGCTGTGACACAATATTCTGTGACAACAGAATATTCTTTTATTAAGGAAAATCACTTAGATTTTAAAAAATTAGTGTTGAAATTACCTCATTGTAAACTTTGTCTTGGGCTTAGTCCTGAATTGAGAAACTGGAGAGTTCTGAAATGGATGAGTTTTAAGATTTTTTGTTTCTCAAATTCATTTTCACTTGGAGGTCGTGCAAAGGATCTACTTCAGTCATTCTGTCATTTATACTCAGTCCACAATGGAACCTAGACCAAAAGCTGAGCTTTCCAGAGATTTAGTGTTGAACTACTTTGTGGCACTAGGGTTTTGGAAAGGCCTTTATAGAAGTGGTGCCTCTGGAGGTGTTAGTTGCTTGTGGGCTTCCCAGGTGGCTTAGGGGTAAAGAATCCACCTGCCTATGCAGGAGATGCAGGAGACACAGGTTCGATCCCTGGATTGAAATGATCCTTTGGAGGAGCAAATGGCAACCCAACTCTAGTATTCTTGCTTGAAAAATTCCATGAACAGAGGAGCCCACTGGGCTGCAGTCCATGAGGTCACAAAGAGTCAGATACAAGTGAGCGACTGAGCACGCACATTCATACACTGTGTCAATCAGTAACTTGGATTTTGTGATTGTTGTCAGTGCTTGATAAATGGTGGGGATGGAGGAGGGAGACAGTGGGTAGAGAATGGGTTCATTTCTGATAGATTCTGTCCAAATTAAAAAGAAGAGCTTTTAATCGCCCTCAGTTTATTTAACTTAGTGGAACCCCACCGTATTTTTGTTAGCCAGTGATGAAAAAGCCAACAAATAACTTTCCTTTGAGTAATATGAAAATACCAGAAGAAAGCATTTTATGTTAAAGGGTTGTGTGTTCCCTTAATTGCCATGGTCTGTAGCATACTGAATGTGTTTTACCAGGTAAATTACTAGTCCAGATGGCTAAACTTTTGGAGGATATAAAACCAAAATCCATTTTAGGAAGCTATCCACTTTGCATAGTTCTGGATAGGATCCATTCTAGTTAGTGGTAACGCTCTTAATTTGTTTTTAAAATACAACTTTTAACTGTATGCTTTTTTTATTTTTACCTAGGTTACACAATGTTCTCCTATGCTTGAGATCTACAGACTACGTATCCTACAAGAACTAATCAATGGTTTTTCATCTTCTGGAAATAAAAACGTAAATATGGTGCCAAAAGAACTCCTTACCTTATTCTGACGACAGTTTATTCGGCCACACTTTTGTATTGAAGAGACGTGTACAGATCCAATTACTTGTGCAGAGACACTGTCGTGTAGGATCATGGACCATCCTAGTAGGGAAAAGGATGAAAGACAACGGGCAACTAAACCCATGGCACAAAGGAGAGAACATTGTTCCCGACCATCCGGCTCAACATCCTCTGGGGTTCTTATGGTGGGACCCAACTTCAGGGTTGGCAAGAAGATAGGGTGTGGGAACTTCGGAGAGCTCAGATTAGGTAAGAACTTGGTTCTTATTGGTTTAGACTAACAGCAACAGCAGAAGCTGTAATAAGCTTTGATGTGTTTCAAGACACGCAGTTTATAATTTTATAAGATGTTCTTATAATGAGGAACTGTTGTTAAAAGAACTGAAGAATTCATGAAGGTGACTTTAGTCATTGTCAGGTCTTATTGGTATGCAAGGTTCATCCCTCTATGTGTGTGATAGGATTTAATATTTTCTGCCAGTGCTGAGATTTTATGATGGAGGGAGATCCACATGCAGGTAACAGTAAAATGAAGATTCTGATTTAGTTGATTGGAGAGATAGAGCCCTGTGTTCTTTTTAACAAACTCCCAGTTGACTGAGATGCTGTTGGTCCTTGAGTCACATTTTGAGAAGGTTTATTAAGGCTTTATTTTAATTCAGACTCTGCCCCTAGTAAAGGAAGAGTAAGTCCTTACTAGTGATCCCATACTTGCTCTGCAAGGAGATATATCAGTGTTTAGAGAGGTTTTTCAACTGATACTGTGTTTACCTTCCTTCCTGGAAGTTCCAGTATCAGGACTAAGCTAGAGCTCCAAGGAGAAACTTTGCAATTTTTTATTTCCCAACCAAGGAGAGAATTTTTTATTTTGAGAATTAATTTATGTGTGAGATGATGAATAATGATAAAATCAACCAATTTGAAGATGTGAAATTGGGAAGAAGGTACATTGGTTATTTAGATACTTTTTATGACCTTCTCTAGGTGAATGCAGAAGAGAAAATGAAAGATAAATTTATGATGTCATCAGCTTAGAGATTGTGACAGATCCTTTTTTAGGCTAAAATGTTTTCTTATTTTTCATAGCTGTTGAGGCTGTATATTTTATGAAGACCTATTGTAAGAGGCTTTGCCCTCTGAGGGAACAGAGCATGGGAGCTTAAGATGATTTTTGTTGATTACCTCTGCTACTTCTGATGATTTTTCAAAAGAAGATTGAAAAATATCTTCTCATCCCCCCATACAGAGATTCAGCTGCGCTAGCCAGAGATCACTGGGTGCAGAATTGAATTTAGGGATGCTGAGAATGAATTTATTTTTACCACTAGAAGACTAGCAGCCTGGAATTTTAAGACCTGCCTAAGATAATGAAAGCCTTTTTATATTTAGTGATGTGTTCATGTTCGGGTTAGCTAAGCCAGCAGATGCTACTGAGAATAGGAGTAAGATGTGTAATTTCACACTGCTTGAGTTCCTATCAACTGTTGAGTTGCTTTAGCAGCTAGGTTTGTGAATATTCATTTATATAATGGATTGACTTTGCTCTAGCAACACAGTAGTACTTGAATTAAATAGATGATAACATAAACATCCACAGAATTACTGCTGAGAGTCAGTTTATAATGTATATAAATTCATGCTTTCTCAAAACAGCATAAAATTGTTTAGTTTCTATAAGGATGAAGGAAAATTTTGGTCAGTGAAAACTGGAAATGTATTTTGTTTAGTTACTTGAGTCTGGATTTGTACATATCATCTTTATGTTTACACAAAAATGGAAAAATCTATTCAAGTCAAAGGATAAATTTATAGCCTATGTATATTCTCAGACTGGTAAAGTGTTGTGTTTTATTTCCTGTAATGAAGCTAGGGTAATTATGATGGGTCTCATTTTGACTTGCCTTGTAGTCAGTAGAAAGAACTCATCTTTCTTTTCAAGTGGTTTTATTCTGTGTGCCGATGAGGTTTTCATTTGCTCTGGGACCATTACTGTTAGGGCATTGTATCTGGGAATACTTTTTATTGACAGAAACAAGAAAAGGAACGTTCAGAATCATTTGATATCTTCCTGACAATAGGGTGTGCTATATTGCCCTCTTTCTGTGATATTAGTAAGTAGAGGACTATGCAGATAACAGAAGGTGTAAACTGGAAAATTCTGAACTCAAGAAGGTGCAGATAGGCCTCCACCCAGGCTACCATTACAGGGCTGTGCTTTCTTCTCCAAATTCATTTCTTTCTCTAGCTACACTGTCCCTTCTGTCCCTCAAATAATCAGTTGTGTTCATGGTTCAGAGCTTTTACACCTACAATTCCTTATGTCTGTAGAATTCTTTCTTCAAAAGTTTGCTTAGCTAATTGCTTCTCATTCCTCAGGCCTCAGCTTTCATGTTACTGACTCAGAGAAATCTGCTGTGACTTCTTTCCACCTCCATTTAAAATAGTACATTTTTCCCTAGCCTCCTTCTATCCCATCAGACTGCTTCACTTTATTCATCACATTGATCACTGTCCAAAGTTATTTTATTAATATATGTTTACCCGTTAATTGTCTCTCCTTATACTTGAATATAAACCCCTGGGAGAGGAGGGGATTCTATCTGTATTATTTGCTGCTGTTATTTGTGGCATGCATGAAGTGACAGCCAGATGAATAGGAAGCAGAGGGGCAGGGGCAACATGAGCGACTTTGGGTTCCTGGTAGGAGGGGGTCATGGTGGGTAGTGGCCTTAACGTTTAGATAGACTCTTGGATTCCAGACAGAGAACCCTCCCCAAAAAGGTGATGATCAATGTATTTTGGTCCTCTGTAAATCTGTTTCCTCTGTATAATCCATTTAACAAACACTTCTTAGATATTTACCATCTTGCTAGTCTTTAGGAAAGACATGGAGGATAACAAGGTATCCTTATGAATCTCACAATCTGGGGGGAAAGATAAGTTAGGAGTATAAGATTAACATATACACACCATTATATATAAAATAATCAAGATTTACTGTATAGAACAGTGAACTTTATTCAATATCTTGAAATAACCTATGAAAGAAAAGAATCTGAAAAAAATGTATGTATATATGTATAACTGAATCACTTTGCTGTATACCTGAAACAAACATAATATTATAAATCAACTACAATTAAAAAAAAAAAGAATCTCACTGACTAGTGGTAGAAAGAGAAAAACAAATTACAGCATAAAGTGATAAGTATTATGGTAGATTATGTAAAAACGACACTGGCAGAGAAGGTTAATGAAAGTTTCACAGAAGCGTGTTATTTGATTGAGAGTAGGATAGGACTTCAGTGGTGAGCACAAGGAAGAAGGAGTCTCCACCAGCAGAACGTGTTAGCTCTATGTGCTGTGAAAGTGTTTCGCATAGTGTCAGAGCAGCAACAGCTATACATGACTGGGTTGTGGGATGTGAAGTGAAAGACAAGTAATAGATGAGGCTGTGAGATAGGTTGGGACCAGAATGTGAAGTGTTTGCGTGGTATTAAAGCATGTGGACTTTATCCTGTAGGCAGTGGAGCAGAACCATCAAGGGTTTTATGAAACCAGACATTATCTGTTTTGTATTCTAGGAAGATAATTCCCAGTATAAAATTAGATCAGCTAGTAAAGAGGTTGTGGATTTTTGCTCTCACTGTGGTACTCGTCACTTTGAGTTACGTTCCTTCATCTCTCTACTTCAAGATATGCTTGATGGTAGTAATTTGCTTTATTGATATTCTCATATGTATTCATATTCTTAATTCCTTTTATGTGTATGACATACAACGGGTACCTACGTAGTCCAGGTCAGAGGTGACTGGGCCTGCCTTAGCCCTGAAAATAGGGCACTGAGATGCATAGGAAGGGACGAATTAGGGAGAGATTTTAGAAGTAGTCTGTAGGCAGGATATGTTTGCCAGTTATTTTAGGGGAAAGGGTCAAAGATGGCTGAGTTTGCCAGGTTGGGAAGACCAAGTGAATGAGGAAACCTTTACCAGAGGTAGGAAACACAGGACCAGAGTAGGCAGTGGGGAAGACAAGTAGTTAGACTTGGTGGATATATTGACTCTGAGGAGTGTGCAGCACATAGGCACAAATATGACTCTGAGACATAGAAAAGTTTAGGCTTCAGATAGGGATTAAGAAATCATCACTATGTAGGTGTTAATGAACATGCAATCATGAGTGATGAGATGATGTGGAGCTTGTGTGAGTGGGAGAAAGAGGGTGCATTTAAGGGATGCTAGAAGAGGGAGAGCCTCAAGAACAGAGAAGTTGAAAAGTCAAAAGAAGAGTTTCTAGAGGGTTGGAGCGTTAAGCACAGCCTTGTGCCCTAAGGTTAAACAGAAGAAGCTAATTATTACAGCCTTTGGTCTTTTACTTCTTTTTATATATTTCTGATGATTCCTTTTTTCCTTCCTTTTCTTTTTTTATGAATGCATGTATTTTGTAACCAGGGGGGGAAAAAGCAATAAACAAAAAGCAAAGCAAAAAAATGTGCCTTTAAAGGCATATTTTTAAAATGAAACCCAATTCTTTTAAAAAAAATTCTACTTTTTTTTGGCATCTCCAAAGATAGCCACTAATTTTGTTTAATTAATTTAATTTTCCAGAATTAGAAAATGTTTATCAGGACATATATTAGAAATGCAGTCAAACTGTGCTATAAACTTGTTTTTAATCACTTAATACAGCATGAACTTTTGTGTCAGCTTACAGATCATGCAGTTTTAATGTCTGTAGTTAGTAATTTATTGGACTTCCCTGGTGGCTCAGATGGTAAAGAATCTGCCGCAATGCAGTAGACCCAGGTTCAATCCCTGGGTTGGGGAGACCCCCTGGAGAAGGAAATGGCAACCCACTCTAGTATTCTTGCCTGGAGAATTCCATTGGCAGAGGACCCTGGCAGCTACAGTCCACGGGATTGCAAAGAGTTGGATACGACTGCACGACTGACACAATCTACACATATACAGTACAGTAGTTTATAAGCCGGTCTTAATATACAGATAAATTATTTCTATTTTTAAATTATAAATAATACTATACTGAACATCCTTATAGATGCTTGTAATAAAGACGTCCTTGTAGTCCAAACTTCGTTGATTATTTTCTTAGGATAAGTCCTGGAAATGTACTTTCTATGTCAGAAATACATACATATTTGTGATCTTGTTACATATTGTCAATTTGCCCTCCAGAAAGATAATTTCCCTGATTTCCCTTAACTTTCTGTGTGAGTCTGTATGTGTGAA